TCACGACTTCACGATTGACAGCCATAAAAGTATCGACTTCAGAATAACCCCTTTGCTACACAGCGAATGAAATTAATATAAAGGGACCCCACCAAATTGCAGAATAAGTAAACTGGTTTCTCGTAAAAAAAAGGGGGAACCTTACACCAAAGAAGCTCTGCGTAATCAGGAGCAGAAATATCAGACAGGGGGCCAATTAGGGACCCTCTTAATGATCGTCAGGATATCCAAGGGCCGAAACGACCGTTACAAGAAACTCGAGTCCTCGGAGCCGTTACAAAATTATGAAAGTAACCTTCGGGGCAAGGAAAAAGGGCAAATAACAATTAGGAAGGCGACTCATAAACGAAGTGCCGACGAAATTCCAGTAAAATGCGTAAACCGAGCCAAAAACCAAAACTCAAAAGATTGTATCTGTACGTGCTTCTCCCGCGTCGTAAATTTTTCACGCATCAACAGAGCAGGTCCCTCGGACCGGGAAAGAACAACAATGACAAACAAATGCGATCGGAAGGAGCTGAAAAGGACCTGCCAAGATTTCCCAAAATGCGGCATTAATGCATATTGACTAACCTTGAGAGTCCGATCCCATCCCATTCCATCGCAATGCAAGTACCCGAAAAATACGTTACTTTGCTTAACTACCTACAGGTTGGGAAATGGGAAAAGGACGATCGAACGGAAGGACGGACAGAAAGGCACTTTCTGGGCTGTCTCAATGAAATAACGGACAAGTCCCTTGCTCGCTCGGGTATTTCCAGCGGCGAGATTGTATCTTCCAGATATGCCAAATCTATTCTTTGTCCATATCCTCCGTCTTTTTTCGGGACAGTGTGTCGAATTTTAAAATCTCTCTCCCCTCACACTCGGGGTTGGAATTTTTTCAACAAGTTGCGACTTGTCCGCTCGGTTCTCTCCAGGAATTTTAGTCCTGGGATTTAGGGATTTTTGTTTTTTTTTGCGCCAGAGTCGAGCAGGTAGAGAGAGACTGTGAGAATGGTAGGGTCTCAGGGGGGAGAAGGGTCGAGAGCAGAGCGAGATCCGTGAGACCAGCCGAAAAGTCCGTTAAAAACCTGCAGGAATTGAGCAACTCGAGTGGGTAATACCCAGCATCCAAAACATGTGGGATAAATATGCTATATTCTGCGAGTTTCTTTTCAATTGTTAAAAAAAACAAAAATTTTAAAATGAAGATTAATATATATGTATCTATTGCTAAAATATAAAAAAAATATTAAAAATAAACAAAACAAATTTAGATACAAATAAACTCTCAACCAACACCATTTATAATATATAAAAACAAAATGTCCAAACTTTGTGATATATTACTAACATATTTAAAAGTACCTTAAATTACTTCCAATATAAATTTAAATACATGAAATGTTTTTTATGCAATATATTTTTTTATAATTTTTCACTGCTATCCCTTTTTTTAATCCCTTCTTTTCTTGTTTTAATTGGGAACCTGTCGTTTCTTACACTATATTAATGACCAAAATTAATTCGAGCTGTTTCATTAGTTAGCTTTTGATATTAATATTAAAAATATTTTTAATTTTAAACTTTATTATGCCCAGTTATTCATGTAATACAATGATTTTTTTAATACCTCGTTTTTAGTAGAAGAAACATTTTTCCCTTCAACTCAAATCAAAACCCATCATACCCAGCATTGTCAAGGGTAAGGATATTCTCCTGATCACAATGCGACTTTCTCCTTCCTCTCTTTTGTTCGTTGCTCTCTGGGTTTGTGCAACCACCTGCCTGAAGTCTGCTTTCCCATTGGCTGAGCTCACCGATCGAGAGAGTCGCCGCTCTTTGGCAGAATTCTCCTCCACTGAAGGAAATTCGGAGAGCGGATCGTATAAAAGGAGAGGCTCGCGAGCAGGGAAACCAGAACACTACCAACTCTCAGCCGAGTGCAACCAACTCAAGATCCCAAGTTTTACTACAAATTCCAAATCCCAGCACAATGTCGTTTATCACACGGGAATACAAGTTTGAGAGCAGCAAGGTGATGCAGCAGAAATCAGATCAACACACGATGGCCATGCGGAGTCTGAGGAAACTGGTCAAACCCCTTCTGCGGCTGGTCAAGAAGAAGCAGCTACTCCGGAAGACGCTGGCCGAAATCCAGAACCAAAATGCAGTCAACGCCTCGCTGGAGGACATGCGCAAAGATCCGGCGGCCAGTTGCGATAACATGGCCAACGAGGAGCTGGAGCAGCGACTGTACAGCGATCTCCGCCAGTGCCCCACCAACGTAGCCATGATCGTGCAGCAGGGTCAGCAGCGCAGCATCGTGCCGGTCCACCCGGAGCAGACCTTCATCCCGGTGCACTTTGCCCGCACCAGCAGCGGCACCTTCTTCTGGACCTCGGCCGAGGGTGCTCGCCAGCACCAGGAGCAGCAGTTGCGCCAGCAGTTCGACCGATGGGTCCAGGCCTAGAAATCCCCACCATCCTCGATCCAGCAGAAAAATCTCCAACTGGCAGCTTTAAGTGCAAGTGTCTCCGTCCATTGGTCGTCGGATGGATGCGGGTACAGCTTCGCATGTTCGTAATCTCAGGGTGATATTAGGCATAGATTGGATTCTTTGGGCGCTCGACCCAAGGGAAACACAACTCTAATTGATATTCAATTGTCACAATCAAGCGTTACTATCGTAAACTCATTGTGATTCCTCGTGTCTTATTAGCCTTAAGTTAGTCTTAGCCGAATCATTGTCTTCCATGTTTGTTTGTTAGGGTCTTCTGATAAGTTCTAGGCTAAGAATCATTGTCTTCCATGTAAAATTTTAGCTATAAAACCTACACTCTTATAAGAAATAAAAAATGAAAAAAACAAAATTTTATGTGTCTTTATATTTTAAAACTTCTTCCTTTAGATTCTTCCCAATTTTATTTTCAAATGGATAGTAAAGAAAAAAAACTCTAGTGTTGATTGCTTGTTGGAAGTCAACTTAAATCTCTGAATTAGATCTATTCTGGTTTGAAAAATGGATATTAAATTGGACTCGCTATGCTGGTAACCGCATTCCAATCAGCGACTGCATTTATTCTTATTTGGGTACCAATTTAGGTTTTTCGATGCTGCTGGTATGCAATTTAAATTGGCCATAAAAAAATGATCTTTTCTTTTTTTAGATTATTCAGTAAAGTTAATGTTGATATTTGTTAGGCAAATATTGAGCATTTTGTAACACTTTACATAATACACCCAAAAAAATGGTCATAAAAACTTAACAATTTTTACTTGAATTTTAAACTATTTAGTATGAAAATTTTCTCAATAAGATTAGCATTAAATTAAAACCACGACAATATCAAAATAAAAATGTTGTGGTTCAAAAATAAGACTACAGTTTTAGACTTTTCGGTATACAAATGAAACAAAAAAATATAGGCCTTTTATTATATACATACTTTAATACTGACTGCAGTTTTTTCTTGTTGTTAAGCTTTCAGTGTTTTTTTTTGGGTGTAGATATATGAAACCTAGAACTTAGAATGTAAAGTTTTAAGTTTTATTTTAAAAGATAAAAATAAAGTAAGTATGTAATAATTATTTACAAAATTACAGCTCTCTTTAAATGTGATAATAGTCCAAAGGCACCAAAAATGTAAAAACATTTTCAATTGTGAAATTGAATTTTTATTTCTTAATTTCACTATACATTTTTAAGCGAAATAATATGTTAAAACCTCTTCAGAATATATAATTTTTTCATATTTAAAATACAAAATAAATCAGTATTTTCAAAATCAGACAAAGTGTTTTATTTCATTTTTACCACAAACTAATTATGCAGGCTTCATTCAGGCGCTTGAATTTCGGGAAACCTGACACTGACAACTAAACTTGAAACGCCACGAAAATAAAATTTGTAAGTGTTTATAAGGAATTATGCCTGTGGAATAGTTAAGCGAGCCACAAACATGCAAGGCCCCCGGCTCTTCACCCCCCAAGTGGATGGGACAAGATCCTATCCCACTCCACCTAAAACGTTTCGATCCTACCCGAGTGGAATAAGAATCATTACCAAAATTACAAGTGCCAAGTATTTCAACAGGAGACGAAATCTGAATTTCGACACAAAACGAAATTATACGTTTTTGTTGTAAGGAAGGGGAGTAAAAGATGGAACCAGCCACAGAAGTTGTTCCAGCAACCGAGCAATCCAGAAAAATCTGTGTAGTCTTGTTTTGGCATAAGGGTAGGAAATCTTTTCTGAATAAACAGTAAACTCTGAATTTCAATACGAACTGAAATACCACCACCGACAATCTAAATGAACAAGTGTGAAGACAGTGAAGCCTGCCACAGGAAAACCTTTAAGTCCTTCTCAACTTCTTCGTAACCATCGAAAGATCTAGAAAAATCCTCGGCTGCTCAAACTGATTTTTCACTGTATTGAAAACGACCACAGTCTACCTGTACTGATCAAAAATGAAATGTTGACGTGTAAATATTTTTCGTTTGCCGACAACATGTGTTTAACGAGGGTCTGTCACTTTTATCCTCCACTGTCAGCCTATTAACAATTAATAGCCAAAAACTAATCAAGGCATAAATTCGAGCCGAATCCTCCGCAAACAAACCGCTCAAATTACTAACCCGAACGCATGAAAAAGGGATGGTTTTGGTTTTTTTTTTTTATGTTTTTGTGCATGCTTGCCGCATCGTCCCATAAGTATTCGACTGAAATTATACTCTCCCACGACGAAACCGAGGGAGAGATTTATTTAGGCCTTTAAAATTCTGGTCTTACTTTGCACACGTGCAAGGGTCGCTCGAAAAAGGGACCCAATTCGATCCGAACCGAGGCTACCTGCAGAGAGTTGAGGAATGCGTGACTCTCATATCGGGAGAAACCGAAAAACACCTGCGCCAGGACTCTTCCTGATTGGCCGACGCTTAGGGGTTGATTTCGCAAGGATCGGGTATAAAAACGGAGCGACATTCCGAGTAGGACATCAATTTCAATCTCAGCGTTGAACAGTCAAGATCACAAGACCACAAATCGCAAGACCTAAGTGCAAAAATGGCCTACGAAACTCTGCTGAACACCACCTACAGCCCGACAGTCTGCCCCAAGAAGACCTACACCCCCGCCAAGGCCATGAAGAAGATCTTCAAAGTGGCCCGCAAAATCTTCAAGGCTTCGGGTCACCAGCCGCTCAAGAACCACACCATCCCGAAGGAACTCCCACTGCCAATCTCGGATGAGGAGTTCCAGAACTCCCAGAACGAGAAACTGGAAGCCGAGCTCGCCTAACTGTGATCGAGGAAAATGGGAAATCCTGAAAAGCCAACTTCCCAAACAGCTTTAAGACTGCATCGGAATCGGTCTCTAAACATCCGCACCAGCTTTAACTCCCCACTCTGCAAGTGGACACTTAAAAATGCATAACTATCCAGCTTTAATCATTGTCTTCCATCTATGTTTAAGCGTATGAATAAATACATAATATTAATATTCAAACTTGTTTACGTTTCTGATTTCTTATTCGAACTTTCCCTTTGTCATTGTAATTTCCTTGAAGGTTTTCCAAGAATTTGTAAACCAAAAACCGTTCTTACCCCTTCCCCATTCACGGAACAACAAGACCCTAAGAACCTTAACACGAAAAAAAAATCTTTACCTGTTCCCTTTCGACCAAAACCTGTTGTGGATTCGAAAAACTTGAAAAATCAAGCGGTGTGAGCTTAACTGAAACCTGTTACCTCGAGGCGATTTCTGATTTTCGTTTTCTGCGCTCCTTCTTAGGGTTGGGCCCTCGACAAAATAAATCTCGAATTGCATCGGAACAGGTAGTGAGGGACCCGACCCAGGTCCCTAAGATAATAAACAAAAACAAGGGCCCTACGAGCGGCAACAAAGCCAATCCTATCTCAATAATAAATGCAAAAAGGCGGCACGGATCAGTTCGATCTTTCCAGCGTTTCCAAAAGGGGGAATATTCGTACATAAGGCAGTGTGTGCCTTATGTAAATAGTGTTTACATGAAGTTGATGCAGATTCAATATTGAAAGCATACATCTAGGTACAGTTTGGCATAATAACATATAATGGACAATCAGTATTCAAAATGTATGCTAATTAAAGATACGAATTTTAAATAAATAATAAACAGACAAAACTTTTACCGGTTCGACATTTATACTCGTTAAATTTAACAAATAAATAAAAATGATAAATTAATAAAATAATAATAATTAAAATCTAGCAATAATAAGAGCAGCAAAAACTTGATAACATTTTAATTACTTTTACTTACTTTTTTTCAAAATTTAATAAATAAAATAGAAAACCAAAAATGTGCGTAAAGTATTAAGTTTAAAATTCTTGAATGTCAAGGATTAGTTATATAACTATTTGTTATATTTTTACCAGTACGTTATTTTAATAAACTAGTATGAAAATACTTTTAGACACCTGGAATATACCATGATTATAAATTTAAAATTAAACAAGGTGCTCATAGGTAGCACATAAAAAATTACTTTAGTGCCCTTAGATATTTATATCTAAAAACGTGTTCGATTAAAAAAAAAAAACTATGGACTACCATGGCCAAACTCCATTCACACAAAAAATCTGAAAATATGAACCAATAGAGTATAAAATCAAGTGATAACAAGTGGTGTAATCAGAAACAGTCTGTTAAAAAGGTGGCTTGGTAGAACTACTGTTTAAAGAGGGGGCATACTTTTTGTATTATTTACTCACATAAGTTATTTTATGTATTAAAAAATACAACAGTCCTGATATTCATTTATAAGTGCACCCCAATATCAAAACAAGCCTCCCCTGCAGTCTGAAATTTTTCAATGGTCGGGTGCTACGAAAACACGAGTTACAGATTCCCAAAAGCTGAAATATAAATGTGTGACGAACAATCATCTGGTCTCACAATAAATGAGTTATAATACGATACTTTCATAAAGAAGAAACCCCCATTCAATTAATTGGAGGGCAGAGCCAAAAAAAATGAGGACTAGAGATGTTAAAAAAATGGAACCCCTGTCGTGACACGAAATTCGTTTGGAAACCCATAGCTCAAATAAACCAAAAACCAAGAGCTCCCCAACCGAACGTGAGAATTTCCAAGATCGTGTTTTAAAGGATTTTTGGCGATGCCATCCCTAATCGGGCAAACAATAAGCATAAGAATGAAAGTGCACTATTTGTGTAAATTTGGCTAAGAATGTAGCTGGTTTTCGGTTACAGGATCGACATATTTCTGACGAACTGGAACAACAAACCCTGCCGAAATCCAAAACAATAAATGAGTCTACGTGAGAGAGGGCCAGAAATGTGCTGTTCCCACGCCAAGGATTCCTCCGGGGGATAATTGTCTTGGAAGGAGAGATGGGCCCACGAGATTCCCACGCTTCGCACAAGATTTCGGGTCTCAGGTCCTGCAGGACCTACCTGCAGCCACCGGCTAACGTGTGAAATTTCGGATCCTTGCACCTGCCTGCCTTTCGAGCGATTTGATTGGCCGAGATGCTGTAGGATCAGCTCCTGAGACCGAGAAGGTATAAATAGCGCCTCTGGTCTTAGAGACAGCATCACACAGCATCCGAACGTCGCAGCGAGAACATCTCAGCACGCATTCTTCTATTCAACGCACACACACAAAACTATCTACGAAAAACCATCTCAAATGTCGGCCATCAGCAAGCAGAAGAACTTCACCACCATGTACAAGTCGAAAGTGTCGCCCTCCAGGCGCCTGAAGAACCTGCTCAAGCCGCTGCTCGGCCACGTCTTTAACCTGAAGAAGGAGCAGCCCAAGAGGAGCTCCTACATTGCCTCCGAGGAGAAGGAGGCCGAGTTCGAGTGGCTCAGCAACGACATGGACAACATGGCCAACGAGCATCTGGAGAACCGCCTGATCGAAGAGATCCGCCAGTGCGCCAAGGAAGACGCGGTCATCGTTTACAATGAGAACGGCTCCGGCGAACTGCAGACCATTGACCAGGAGGACTACTACGTGCCCGTCCACTTCGCCCGCACCAATGCCGGCACCTTCTTCTGGACCTCGGTGCAACCCAAGGCCTGCGAGCCCTACGCCATCGAGTGGAACTTCCTGGATCGCTGGGCTCAGGCTTGAAGCAATCTCCTGGAGCTGAAACATTCAACCTTGATCAGCAATGGGGGTTTTCAACTTTCAATTGGGACAACTTCAACTGGACTGAAGCTCGGCTCTCCAGCGGGATGGGTACTCCAGAGTTTGGGCACTTCGACTCGGGGTTCATCTTTGGTCTTTGGCAGCGCTTTTGGGATTTTTCGACTCACTGAAAATTCCAAAAAAGCGATTGGGTAACCACATTTATTGGTGGCGGGAGGTATTCCAACAATTATCATATTTTTTGCTGTGCAAAAATGGGTTTCAATTGTTCGGGGTTTTTAAAAACAAATGTTAACAAAAACAAAAAATAAACAATGAAAACATATTTGAATTTCTTTTTATTTACGACTCATAAAAACGGTTATTTACATTATTTATTTAGCATGTTCAAAATGTGGTCCTGCCTTGGGTAAACAGGCGAGAAATTCTGTCTGCAGATCCTTTCAAGATGTGGGACATTCCCATGGCACCAAACATGTGTTGGGTTTTTGTTTACTGTTACCCAAAGATCTAGCTGAGATTTCGGAAAATGTGTGGAAATGGTGAGGAAAACTACCATCAGCATAGCATATGAGAGTTTAGATAACAGCTCAATGGTCTCGTGTTATGGTTTTTAAACAAACTTCTTATACACATTTGAAGATATTGTCAATTACGATAAGAAGCGGCAGTTCAAAATAAGCATGTTATATTATTACTTTGTTTTATTTGTATTTACGAAATAAAAGACAAACATGACCATTTATTTAAATGACGGAATTACCTAATTAATATCATGGTACCAAAAGAATATTATAATAAAGAAAAAATAAATTCTAAGCAATATGTTTTTCTTTTTCAAGGTCAACGAAAAAATGAAAACAAAGTTTATCTTAGTTTTTCGAAAAAACCCTTTTCAGAATTAATGCATTTAAAAAGAAAATGATAAAGATTCATTTAATTTTCATGATATATTTAGATTTAATTTTATTATTAAACTCCGGTTTTTGTACGTGTAATTTTCATTAAAAAAAACTGTCTGTTTGATAAGATAGATTTGATGGTCAACAATCAATCCCTTCATTGACTTTTAAGCTAGGTATTTAAACAAATTGAATCCTTTGAAGACCATGCCCAACAAAATTTGTTTATTTCGACCACCTTCCGTTTAAAACTGTTGCTGAAAATCAGAATTATAATTTTGTTTTTCTACAGCCTTGATGACCGAGATACAAGTCTTTGGCCAGTTTTAAAAGGAAATGCAAATAAGAAACACAAATAAATTTTTTGTTAGCTTTCCCATGAAGAGCTGTTTTATTTCATCAAAGGAAAAACTAATTTTCTTATAAACTAAATTGCACTTAACGGTAATGGAAGACGTGAGCGACACTGTTGTTTTCTTAAACGTAATGCAGTCTACAGTTTTTACGATAACAAAATCTGGATTTTCAAACATAACAAAGGCATAACAATTAACAATTATTAACAATCACAGCTAACGTTCCAGGAACGTGAAACCAACAACAAATCAGTTAATAACAAATCAGTTAATAACAAACCAGCTAATAACAAATCAGCTAATATTGCACATGATATTGTGGGGGTGTTGACCTTGGGGGAAACGTCGTCAAACGGAATCATCAGCTCGAGTTTGTGTCCCGCCAAGTCACCATTGCACTTTCCTCCAGCCCGGTCCTGTTTGGTCCTCCGTCTCCTCGATCACCATGTCCTTTTCCAATATCCACGTTCCCTTGTCCAGTGGGTGGGGTGGGTGGTGGATTGCTGGCTGGGTGATGGGAGTTGTGGGGGGAGCCAAGCGGTCTTTAAAGCTTCTGTACCAACCAAGGTTACGTAGGATTACGTAGGGGGTTGCGCTTGGAGCGCGTTTAAAGCTGCGACAATCCTCTCTCGCCGCCCTCTCCCTTTCCCGCTGGGAGAAAGAGAGAGTATGGGTGGAATCCCCGAGATGAGGAGATGTGATCGTTAACGGTTTTGCTTGAGCACTGACTCTCCGATCGGCGGATCGCCGGATTTTATACAACTCGCGGTACGACGACGTTGACGTTGACGCCGCTGCCGCGTAAATAGAGATAAACAAAGCGCACTCACACTCACACTTAGGCACCGTCCCTTACACACACACACAAACACGGCTCTCGTTTTCTGTGTCTGTGTTTGCCTTTCGTTATCAACCATTTATTGTGGGCCCTTTTCGGTTATCTGCAGTCGACGGGCTACTACCCGTTTTTATGTTTTATCACTTTTTACCCTCCCCTCGCACGATCTTCTGTTTACTTCAGGTCATTCGTTTCATCTGCACTCGAACAAAATGTGTACGTCTTCAGTTTCTTACTTGAGGTAAAACCAATTCTGGTAACAGAAAATCTTAAGAAATTAGCGTTAGGCCTCTTCTTCTTGTATAAATTTAAATTATGTTGCCTTCTTTCAGGCAGTTGCTGGCGTTAATCACAGTACTTCATTAAATGATTTTGGGGTTCAAGTTCGAACACTCGGTAGACAGTTTAGAAAACAATTTATTTTCATAAGAATATGTTTGAAAAATATATATGTATACATATATTTATATTTAAAATTCAACGAAATTCAATTACTGAAACTAGCGAAATGACATTGTAATTCCCAAATAGATCCGATTTAGTTAACAATGCTTAAGGGCTAACAATAACTTATAACATATATTGTATATGCCTACAAAATTTAAGATCTCTACAAAGAAACAATAACACTTTTAAAAGAGAATTCTCCATATATCTTGCTTCGGGTAGTCGCCATAAAGTAGGCAATACAATTTGACCGAAGCAATCTACTTATCGTTTCTAATTTTGTGCACTCCAAAATAAATTAGTAAAATAAGTCGGTTCCAGAAAATAATATTTATAATAGGTTATTTACATTCCGACATTTTAATCAAAATAAATAAAGTTTTTTCCAACTTTATTATATTTATAATTGGTTGTAAGTCTTTATAAATCCATTAATTTAAAAATCACATTCAATAAATATTAAATTATAGTTTTTAGTATAAATAATATTTATAAATATGCATAAAATAAATTTGTTACTTTTGAAATGTTTAAAAAAACATATATTCTAAGGAAAGTTTTGCCGATTCATATTGTGTCCGATACATTTGCTTATTAAAACTGCGAATACTCGGTATTTTTTTTGACTGTACTGCACGTTGAAAAGTCTTTTAACTTTGCTGTTTCCTTTCTGTTGTTGGTGTGATTTGTTTTCGTTTAATCTTCTTCCACACGCACGTTCGGCAGCATCGGCATCTCTAGGGTCCGTCGCAGTCGCAGTCGCTGTCTCACTCCATTCCACTCCATCCAATTCAAAATCGCCCTTCCCTTTCCTTTGCGTTGACTCGTTTTTAACGATCTCGCGGACCCCAAAACGAGAATCGTCCCTCGCCAGTGGGGCTTATGTGCATTCCTCACATAAAGCACGGGTACTCACATGTGGATGCAGATACAGATACAGATACATATGGTGCATACATATACATATCTACATATACACGAACACTTTACGCCCCTCTGGAAATGCAGTTTAATGACCGTTCATGACCAAGTCAATCAGATGCGGGACTATTTACGCATAGCAAAATCAGAGAGAACGATTCAACTACGAAATTTGTAGACACCCTGGAGTGGGGGACCCTTCCAAGCAAATTTGATAAGCCTTATAGGGATCGGAACAGGGGTATTTAAATAACTATTAACAAAACAACAAATACTAGCCTTACAAAATTATGCTGGTTAATTTGATATTTTTTCAAACACAAATCTTTCTTTTCATTAAGCATCTTAATGTATATTTCAAGAAAACTAATGTATATGCCTGTATATCTAAAATCCAGATTTTTAGTTTTAAAATTTTAAGTTTTATAGTGTTAGAAAAAATAAATAATACATTTTTTTATTTCCGTTAAGAGATAGTTATCAAAATTAATTATTATTATCTTCAAACACAACAAAAAGGACTGAAGAAAATAAAAATAGGTAACATCTAGACAAAGAGTATCATATCTACCCCATTTGGCATAAATCTTTTTTCCTGTTAATGTTTACCCTACGTCTTATCAATAAAAACCTCTACAATTACCAAGGGCAGCAGGTAGGAGGATTGCTAGAATTGCTTCCCCTAATCATTTCCTTTTCCAGTGACTCCTTTCGAGAACCCTCCATACAAGATCATGGGAACGTACGTTATGCGTGCGCTCCTCACGCGCAGGACACGTACGGAAGAAACCGTGGGAATCGAAACGAAATGCACCTAAACCAAAATAAATGCACCAGACCCTAGAAGAGGGTAACAATAGACAGGTCCCTCCGCAAGCGGGCCATTTCGAATTGAATTAGAAAAGGTTGCCCAGGTGGAGTTGGGGGTAGACCTTAATGGGTCCCAAAGAATGAAAGCAATCAGATGTAAATCAAGCAGCCAAGTTAGCAGTCGAGTCATGGTAAATAGCCAACCCCTCAACGTAGTGAAAAGAAATCATCCCCGGGACACACAAAAAATATAACCAATCATTTTAGACAATTATAAATTTGGGTTTTCTTCAAATCAAAATCTTGAATGCTATAGAAATCTTTTCCGTTCGAAAATCAAAGCAAGTTGCCACAGAAACATCATCAACGAAATTTTTACTCAATTTTGAGTGATTGTATTAATCTTCTGGTAATATTAGATTTTAGAACAATCATTTTAACTGTTTGTCGATTTATTGCCAAGGAAGACAAAACATTAAAGCGTACAAAATATTTTAATTTCCCTACTCGTATATAGGGTATATTGGATTCGTAGAAAAGTATGTAATAGGTAGAAGGACTCGTATATATTCTTGATCAGGATCAATAGCCGAGTCGATATAGCCATGTTCGTCTGTACGCCCGTATAAACGTCAAGTTTTGGAAAACTATAAACTACAGAGTTTCTTCTTGTTAATATTTACTTCAGTTAAAATAAAAATATAAATGATCTCATGTCTCTTAATGAAAATTCATAAATAGTTATATACATTTTTTTTTATCCCTTGCCCGTTTCTCTTAATAATTTATTAGCAATCAAAATAATACATTTCTGTGTGTCCAGTTTGACCATCAAACTAAGAGATTACAAAAATATTAATGTTGTAAAACATAAATCTTGTTCGTCATTGCCATTTTCCAGTAAGCGCCAGCCGTCTATTATTTTGGTAAATCTAGTTATGTTTCCTAAAATTTCTAATGCAGATTCGGCTTGGACTTCTACTAGCATTTCTGCTTGTGGTGGCATCCCTAGAAAGCCCAGGTATTTCCAAGCCTGAAACTAAATCCACGAAAAAGGATGATGCAGCCTTTCAAATATTTCACGGCAATATCGAAAAGTACGAGCTTTGTGTAAAACTTTTAAGGGTTTGCCGCAAACTGAGGGACAAGGCGCCCGATTACTCCGATCTTGACGAAGAAGAGCCGGTTGGCGATAACGAGGTGAATGCTGAGGACAAAGACGAGTACCGAAAGTCGGATTGCTTGCCCTATGGCCTCTCGGCAGCCGGCGAAAAGCACTTCTGGCAGATTGCAGCCAAATGGCAAAAGGAAATCGACGACAGGTTCTTAATTCAAAACCTATTCGTGGTGATAAAGACGACCGACAATGGGCGGAACACGAATTTGGCTTTTGGCAAATGGCAAGGCTGGTGCAACAGAACCGATCTTCCCGACGAAACGACAGAATCAAGTGAAGAGGACGATCGCAGTGTATCGGGTTCTACCAGTACACCAATTTTACCAACAAGTACCTTACCTCCTTCGAAAAACTGTGATAGGAACAGCCAACAAGGCAAATGGATATTTAACACGATCAACGACACCCGAAAGTTGGATAAAGTTATCAGGGGATTTTCCAACTTTCTGATAACCCTCGGAAAGTACGCCAGAATAAAATGTTGTCCCTATGAGTCAGTCAGAGACCGTTTGGAAATCATTCACGATGGCATTGATTTCTTACAAGAACTAAAGGGCACGGAATCCTCCCCGAAACCAGAATACACTGATATAAACTCCGATCTTTCTTATCTCAGAAACAGATTAGTGCATTTCAATGACGAAACAAAAAAATATGGTAGTGCCAATTACTCGTCGGGTAAATGTTGTCCCAATATTTTAAGTGAGCTGATTAAATTCGAAAATGATTTTGTAAGTAAACTTCAATCTTTAGGCCCACAGAAAAAAATCATTGACTACACGCCATTTATAAAAAAGGGAACGAGCTTGCAAGATATGTATTTGAGTCTACTAAATGTCATCCGCTCACTAGAAACTTCTTCCGAGAGTAACAGTAATACAACCATTTGTTGTGCCGAGGAAAAATCAAATATTAACGATGTAGATCAACTCTTGAAAGATCTAAAGCACATCAGCTCCCTTGACGAATTATCCAAATTAATAGACCCACTAAAAGAAAGGCTAGCCTATGCCAATGAATCACTTTCGGATGCGGAAAATCAGCTGATCTTTGAAGAAGGAAATCTCCAGAAACTGACTTTATTATGCGGAAAAGAGTGTCGACAAGAAAAAACAAAGGGTGCACTTTTTCAAGGTCTCATTTCGAAGTTGGGCAACTTAAAAAACAAAGTCAACAACATGAGTAGTTTAGGGTCCGTGAATTGGACTGTTCTCACCCAATCTGTAAACAATGTGAACAACATGATCGAAAAAAATTCATCGTTATTCATTAATATCACAATTATAAAAAAGCAATTAATAAAAATTCAATTTAGAAACATGCCAAAAAAGTACAATTCTTGTTGCTCAGAAGATTTAGTTGAAATAAGTAATCTTTTTGAAAAAATCGACAGGGCAAAAACCGATCTTAGCATTTATCACGAAGTACAAGAAAATATTTTCAAACAGCAATTTCAAGAAATTGAGGATAAGCAAAAGGATTTGGAAGGATTAGACCCTAGGCCACCAAATGATATACAACTAATGCTCAATCAATTAGAAACTGATTTGGAAAACCTAACAGAGAATGGCATTAACAAATTGGACAGGGAAATGCAGCACACCCAACTAAAATTTGAAATGGAAAAGGAAAAGTTCGATAGGGAAGTTGAGGAACAGCTAAAATATATTAACCTGTTCAGAGAAGAGATGAAAAACGAACAAGATCTAATTGACATTCGCATTGCCAAAATAAAATCGTTGCAAACGCCAAAAGATTATGACGACAAGCTAATTAAACTTGAGGCCACAGCCCTTGGGTTTTCCAAGCAGATTTTGAGTTACGAAAAGGAACTTTTGAGCCGCATCGATATAATGCAACAGCAACTGAAGGACCTGGACAAGGAGATCGAAAATACGGAGCACCGGGCAAACATTTGCGACGGTGAGTGTGACTTAGGTGATCTTGATTCAGTGGACAAACTGATTGGCAGGGTACAGGCTGTCAAGGATAAGCTAAGTTCAAAGTCAACGCTTGTCAAGAGTAAACGCAAATCACAGATTATGGTTGTCAAAACCAGGAGAAAAGGTTAAAGATATTTGACAAGAACGTAATTTATTGAGAAATTTACGAATCATTACTAAATATAAATGATTGTATATTGCGATAAGCCTTGGCTTTACCTGAATTAAGAAGTTGAAAAATTGCAAATTTGAATAATAGAAACATAAAGCACACATTTACAATATCTGTTTCAATTGTTATTATTTCTTTTTTAAATAAATTAGTTAAATAACCAATTCGATAAGTATTGTTTTTATTATTGCTTAGAATAAATTATAACAAATATAAAAGGTTGAGCAATCCGTTTTTAATGAATTTAAAAAACCCGCTCTATTTCGTGCACTGTTTAACACTAAAAAGTAGTTACGTTACGGCCACTTAACGTTTTGTTACGTTTGAATAGGTGGTACGTTACGAGTTACAGCGTTGCCAGAAGATTACATTTTTTTTAATTTGAACTTGAACGATGGTTGTGGGAAATCATTTAATATTTCAACTTGTACTTATAACTATTATTTTTAAAATACATATTGTGAAACAAAGCTGACATAATTAAAGAAAAAAACAGAAAATAAAGAAGGAAATTTGTAATAATTTTTGTGGTTCCGCTATTTTATTATATATTTATCCTTTAATATCTATAATGTAAATATAAAAAGCTTCAAATCTCGCTGTCTTAAAAAATAACGGATTTCACGGGAAAAGGCGAAACTTTGACTACCAGGGCTGGCACCAATGCATATTTACCGGTAATTAATAGTTACACAGTGGTTTTCCTTACGTTTTATTCTTATTAACAGTTAAAAAAAAACCTAAATTTCTATGACAATGTTCAAAGTATAAAAACCTATAATATAAATTTAGCATTCTTTATTTTTTTCATTTGCAATTACGTTTAGATGTAGTTCACATAATTAGGTAGATCCCAATTTGAACTAGTTCCCCTTGCTGATGTTGCCCATCCCTGGCTCTATCCCTACGCACGTGTGAAGCTGTTCGTTGTTATTTTTATTTTACCCGATTTTTGAGAAATAAAAAGGGAAGGAATGCGGGACAACACGCCGCCGCACCGTCCGGACTTCGAGGACGGAGAGGACGAGCTGCTGGAGATGATCGATCTGGAGGGGCAGCCGCTGGACGAGGATGACGACGACTTGGAGGAGGTGACACTGGAGCAACTGGAGGCCCGACTGGCCGGTGCCGGTGGCGGTGGCGACGACGACGACGACGAGGAGGAGGATGAGGAGGAGCTGCGCGACCGCGAGAGGATAGCCAACATCCGGGACGATGCTGAGATCACCTTCCGGCGGCACAAGGCGCCGGTATTCGCCTGCAGCCTGCATCCTTCGCACGACTGGGCGGTAACCGGCAGCGAGGACGACAGCGCCCTCGTGTGGGACACCGCCACGGGCGAGGTCCTCTTCGAGATCACCGAGCACAAGGACACCGTCACGGAAACGCACTTCAGCCACGATGGCCTTTACTTGGCCACCGGCGACCTGTCCGGCGAACTGTTCGCCTTCAAGGTCAGCGAACAGCGCGAGGAGCGACCGATCCTGGCCAAGGTGTGGGAGTACTCGATGAGTGACATGTCCTGGCTCTTCTGGCACCGGGCCGCCAATGTCCTGCTGGCGGGCAGCGACAGCGGCGAGGTCTTCGTGTGGCGCATCCCCAGCGGCGACTGCAAGATCCTGCCGGGACAGTCGTCGCGCTGCGAGTCCGGAGAGCTCAGTGGCGACGGCAAGAAGTTGTTCACCGCCTACATGAACGGATCCGTGAAGCTGTGGGACCTCAAGAGCTGTCAGGTGCTCATGGAGGTCAACGACCAGCATCCCATGGGATTCGGCGAGATCACGCACGCGGTGGTGGCCTGCGAGAGGGAATCTCCATTCTACATCTGCGCGGAGGCGTCAGGTAAGCCCCGATTCAACAAACATAAAAGCATTTTAATAGCCTATGAAGAAAACGCCATCCATTCACAGTTGCAATAATTTATAATGCGTAATTTAAGTTCCAATAACTTTAGATTTAGTTTACACTTTTGTATTTTGGTAATCGAATTCGATCTGGATATGGTCAATACTTAATTATCCAGAAATCTTGTTCTACCAAACTTCAATAGCAGATAACACGGTTCAATATGTTGATGAGGGTTAAATACTATTGTTTTCTGAGATCATATAAATGTTGTCATATTAAAACTCAGTTTGATCATTGCATTCATTAGATTTGTATTACCATTAATTGAGCCATTATTTACCCTTTAAAACGTAAAAACCGATTAATAAAACTCTTTCCTTTTAGGCAAAATGTTGTTTTGCACCAACAACGGACCTGTGAGCACGATTCAGTCGGAACACGGCATTGAGTGCCTGGCCTTCGCTCCTCCGGCGTCGGATCTCAAGCTCTTCGCCTGTGGCTCACTGGACGGCAGAATATCCATCTGGGACTACGGCAAGTCATCGCTCCGTACGATATGCGAGAACCCAGTGCCAAACGATGGTGTCATAAGGTATGCATGAACTAGCACTTAAACTTCAACTAAAATATTTTTTTTATATCAATCCATTAATACTTTTAAATTACCAGTACAAATAACATAATTCAAAAAGTGGTTCACAGCTTTGTTGAACCAAATTGCAAAAAACTTTTCAAAATAATAATGTTATAATGTAATTATTTTGTATTAATTCAAAGATTGTTTTGTTTCGGTGTAAACCTTTATTTATAACCGAAAAAAAAAAACCAAAAATGGAACAGCTTTTTTGAACCAAGTAAAAAAATTTAAAAAAAAAGTACTAAATTTAAAGTAAAGTATTACCATCTTTCAATTTAACATGAATTTTGATTACTTTTTAAATTCCACCAATTCTTTTGTTGTTTCTGGGCTTAGACCACCCAACTCCTATCTCAGTGCTATTTTTCGGTTATTTTGATTGTACATTTACATGTTTAAAACTTGAAGTTATAAATACGAAAAAACGTTATTATATAACATTCTCAATAGAAATAACCGATTAATGGCTTTAAAAAAGGAGTGGGGTGCCGACCAACCAATTGGTGGTATCTAAACCAAATCTTATCAAAATTCTGGTGGAATAGAAGGATGACTGAACTATATAATTCGATTTTTTTAATGAACATAAACCTTATCTAGGAGCTGAATATTACATAATTTTTAAGATTACAAATTTATAAAGTATTTCAAATATTTTGAAAAGTTTTTTAATTCCGTTTTTATAGACTGTTAAAGCTTTGGGTGGTGTTTGAATGAAATAAGCTATGAGCCACTGTATTATATTTTTAAACAACGATAACAGTATTTTTTAGTTTTAAATTATTTTGTGTAAACGCCCAACTTAAGCTTTTTGCACTGATGGAATACCTGGAATTATTTTATTTTATTTACTAATTTATTATTGGATTTCGTATCGGATAGTTTAACAATTTTGTACAATTTTTTCAGGATCAAGTGGCTGAGCGACCACACCATCCTGGCGGCCACTTCGCAGGGCAATCTGAATGCTTTTGACGCCCGTACGGGATCGTTGAAATTTACTCTGACGGGTCACTTCTATCACATCTACGAGTTCGTCTACAAGGCGCATGAAAATCTGCTTTTGACGGTGTCCGAGGACAACACGGCCAAGATATTCAAGGTGCCACCGCTGGGCGATTAGTTAGGATATAGAAATTTTGTACCGTGCTGTATATGTAAATAGTAAATACATATAAAAAAAAGTGTAATTTTTTGTTCATCTTGGCAGTCAGGTGCAATGAACCCACAAGTCGGTCCTTTTTCACTTGTTCTATATATACATACCAAATAATAGGGGGAGGCAAAAGCTGACTAAAGATAGAACAAACAAAGCGGATACAGTACGGGCTAAAAAAGTAGCACCGCCCAATTAACATTTTCTTTGTGTATCTTGTCAGTAATTTTTACGAACTGAAAGGAATAGGTAAATATGAAATGTAAACATGACAAAAATATAGGTGTAGAATTCGATTCAGAACAAAACTTATATTTCAGATATTATGGAACATTAAATTAACAAAAAAATTTAAAATTAAGTTTTCCTTGTAACTGAGCCAGCTTATTGCATATTATATAGATCAACTTACAAATTTGAATGATGTTTTGTGGCATGTCCAGGCAGTGCTATCATTTTGACCGCAGTTGCAAGTGAGAACTGAACTAAATGCATGCTAAAATGCAACTGCAACGAACTCTCTTTAATCCCTAGCTCTCTTAGAAAGTATGAACCATGCGTATTGGAGACCATTTCAAAAGAGACAAACACTTGTTTATGTTTTTGTTTGTCCGTTGCCGTTCACACACACAATCGCAAACAATTGTCTCTGAAAACGAAAACAATTCTTCGGATTTACATATTTATCTTGTTGCTGCATTATTATATTAAAGCTTTTTCGGAAGAGCGTGCCCGCGGATGGAAATCTCGGTTTCAGTCTGTTTCGGGTTATCGGTGCGAATGGGTTACGGTTTTTCCTCAAACGGGTAAAAACTTGACACGGATTAAATCGTAATTTCAAAGGCAAATCAAATGCCCAAAAATAAGTAGAATAAATATAATGTAAGCCCAGTGAATTTGAGACATTCTAACAAATAATAACCGAAGTCCGAATTAATGTTTTTCAACTTAAAAGTACCTACATTTATGTTACTCTTTGAATGGTGATCATAAAAACTCATGACTCGTGGCATGATATGATGGAAGCGACACCGAAATATTAACGAAAATTGCATATGGAAGTGATCCATCATATTTCTCCTTCCAAACGAATATATAATGTGTGGCGCGCCAAACTTAAAAATAAAAAACCAAAAGGGAAGGGTTAGACCTGAGTTCGAAGAATAAAATACCCTAAAGTATTAAGTGAAATCATATTTGATAATATTTGAAAGATTTCACGATACACTACTTATTTTATAAACTTTGTAAGAAAAAAATAAAGTGGTCTGGTTAAAAATATGATGTAGTCGATAAAGGCAAAAAAAATAGTTAAACAAAGAAAAAGGCGAATTAATGAAAAAAAACTTCAATACAAGTTTAACCGGACATGTTGAGCTAACTAACTTAAAAATCTGCCAGTATTTATTTAGTAAAACGAGTGTTAAAAAAAAGCATTTTTGCTAACCTCAGCCGATATCTACTATACCCTCCAGAGAGGCATAAAAACTGATATCCCGCAGCTACGAGGCGACAATAAAAGTCACACGAAATCACAGTTAATCAACCGCAAACGGGGGCTATGGACACTACGACACTATGACACTACGACACCACCACACCGGCAAACCACCAGCGCCCTGTGTGTGTCTTTTACAATTAGATTACCAGAGGAGCTCCACGGACCCAAAATGAACAGATCGCGCGAGGCGAGCTACTAAAATGTGTGGAGGCGCTACACTTGTTTTGTTTATTATTTGTAGTATTTTTTTATGGTGGGCGCGAGTGAGATGGGTAGCTAATCCATATAGTCAGTCGGGTACTAAAGGTTCACGATTCACAATTGAATTATCACAGTTTGAAATGTCAAATGCACGCGCCTGGGCGATGTCCCCCTTCCTTCCCATCAAACTATGTATGTACATTTCATGATAATTCACTCAAGTGTGTAACAAAAGTTCTATTAATATTTTCTCGCATTAATGAGTATAAAAGCATACAAAAGACCGCCAAATCTATTGGAGTAATCGGTGTCAAATGAACAACAAAAGGTGATGGAACAGAGAAGCCTTACTGGGAACTCTACGGATTACCATCACCTAAGAGATCATTACACTTCAATCATAAGTCCGTAAACTACTTTAGTTGCGGCTGGCTCATAAATCCGATCGTATTGGGTTTTATGAGCCGGCTGTAAAGTTAATTGACATTTGATTCACTGATATGTCGTAGCAGTTTTATAAACCGTATTAGATTAGCTCTAGCATGACTGTGGCTTCTTATCACACATTTCCTCTCACTCAAAATTTAAATTTTACCGGAAGTCAGCCACGTATTCAGTAGTAATTTTTACTTGGAATGACCTTTTTAAATTTATTAATTAAAAAAATTGTTTTGCAAGCTTTCAAATCTGGGAAAATCAAAAAAAGTGTTTTGAAGATTTTAAAAAATGTTATATAAAAATACAGCATAGATACAAATTAACTTCGAAAGTTCATCACTTTAAAAAATATTTTTTATTTACAAAACATTTTCTAAATTCACTTTGTTGCTTAATTATATAATATATGTACAACTGTCTATACCTAATAAAAACAATACAAGTTTTTTGCTTAATTTTTTTCCAAATCAATAATTATTAAAATTTAGTATTTGTCTTTAAATATTTGAATTTTTGAAATTTAGAAAACAATACCATATAATATATTCTGCCATTAGCCAGCCATTTACATTGTGACTTTTGTAGATCACTCGTTTGCATTAATAGTTTGCGGCAAGTTTCCCTTGCAATATTTGCCCCCAATGCCTATAAATCAGGTACAATTATAGATCCCTACAAATCATTTAGCTAATATCTTTTGGCACCTGGCATACCCACTGCCTGAACAACAACTGACAACAAAGTGGCTAGAAGATTATGGCCAAAAATCATCATTCCGTTTATGACCAACGTAAAGGTCAATGACTAAGACGGAAGAGAATGCAGCTTAAGAGACATTGTGGGGAGTTTCTCTTAGGCGAATACACGTGCTTTATTTTTGGCACTCAAACTTCGTCTAGCGAAATGTTTGCGGTTCTTGCATCATGCGTTTGATAAACGCAGCCGGTAGGCGGATGAATGCCTCCGTGGAAAGTGCTGGCTCCTTTTACAGGTAACAGGTAAGACGTTTATGGCCCAATGGCCGAAAAGAGCGCGAGAGAGCAGCTGCTGCTCGTTAAAGTTAAAGACCACCTAAAACAAAAAACGGAAAGCAGAAGCAGAAGCAGAAAAAAAAAGGCAATGCAAAGCCCAAGTTGAAGCGGCAGCGCAGCCGGCGCAGAGCGGCAGAAATCGCTCATAAAGGGGGGTAACATTTATATTCCAAACTTAGTTTGAACTCAGAGCGTGCGGCGAGCGGTCTAACCGGCATTTGTAGTTTTTTTCGGTTCGGTTCGGTTTGCTTCAATTCGATTCGTTTCTAAGGCAGACGACACAGACACCTTTTTCGGTTTCCTCGAATTGACGAAAGATGCAAGGGAACATAATGGAACCACGTGTGTGTTAATATAGCCTATCTGTTTTACAATATACTACAGCCCCATGCGACAAATGTGTCTGTGTTTGTGTGTACTGAAGAGCACTGTAAAAGTTGAAGAGCCGAACAAAACAGAACTGAAAACGGAAAACAACAGAGAAAACCATGTGGACTGAAACGAACTGAACTGTTTTCGAAGCTCCACATCACCACAAAGAGTGCGCTGATAAAAAACAAAAAAAAAAAAAAAAAAAAAAAAAAAACGCGAGAAAATTACAAGAAAACCCCGATAAAAGCAATGGACTTATGTACATAGAAACCAACCACAGTAAATCGGAAAAGTTACCTTAAACAAAAATTATAAATCATAAAGGGTTTTTTTTGCTTGCCCATACAACTCATCACATATATCCTGAAAAAATGGCGCGCGTTCAGGCCAGCGACACATTGATTCCCCGCCAGGTGTTCGAGGTTCCTCCGGCGGAACCGAACAACTCCACGGCGGACAGCGGCAGCCAGGGCTCCGGGGTGAGGATGAAGAAACAGATCGGCCTGCTCGACGGAGTGGCTATCATCGTGGGCGTGATCGTGGGCTCCGGCATCTTCGTCAGCCCCAAAGGAGTGCTCATGTACTCCGGCTCCATCGGACAGTCCCTCATCGTCTGGGTCCTCTGCGGCGTGCTCAGCATGGTGGGAGCCCTATGCTACGCGGAACTGGGTGAGTAACCGCCTGTGGAGAGGCTTGTCGCCACCTATTCGATAACAAGCACCCACGCCCAGTCAACAATGTTGTGCGGTGCTGGCAGTTATTGCTTCTGGCTGATGACAGCACTCCATGGGTCAGCATATGGCACATGGCAGTGGAAGGGCGGGAGTGGGGGAGTGGGGGGAGGTTGTTTACATAGGTGTAAGACAAGCACCTGTTGTGGCAAGCACAGCACAATCGACAAACTGGAGCAAGAGCTCTTCTCGCTGATAATGCAAAAGAAAATGCTTCAGTCAGGGAAATCTGCTTATGAGGTTAAGGCCACAGATTATACGCAAATCTAGTAATGCACAAAAAAATATTTACTGGTTGTACGTTTACAGATCTTTTTGCTTAGCAAATATATTTACGATTTTAAACTATAAATAACTACTTTCCTATAACCATTTGCAATGTCCTAACTTACATAATTACACATTTAACAACTAAAGATTTGTAGCCACTCTAAGTGAATTCTAAGTTCTTATAAAATAAAGTACTTACATAATATAATATTTACAAACCTTGTATTAAAATTTAAAAAAAAATACATTTTTTTTTTGCAATAACAGCCTTAATTAATTAGTTTATGAACTGTTAATATAAGCAATTTAAATGTCTCTCTTTAAAAAAATGATTTAAGAGATCGTTCTTTTTGAGTTTGAACTGTTAGAAGAAAAGTTGAAGCGACATGTGGTACTTAAAAATTCTATAAATAAACAGCAAGCATTTCGTTGGCATCTTGAATTAAACATTTAGAGGGGAGACAGGAATGTTCAGATTAGTTCCAATTTAAACGAATAAGGTCCAAAGAAACAAAAACGGAAATTCACTATGACCTTTGACGTAGCTCTCCCGCTGAGAGAATCTGTTGAGATAATCTACTCCAACCAATTAACATGGAGACACATTGGCATGGAAACTAGATCGGACCCATCAAGATGCCCTCTTCAAGGGGCAAATCAGTTCCATTTACCCCAACAAAATGATTAATAAAATTAAAAAGAAAAATGTGAACACAAAATGAGCCAGCAAAAAAACTTTCAATTATCAAAAAATTAATTTTTAAAAATATTTCGACGGCACTAGAAATGAATCGGAAATTATCTAATATTTCATAAGGAAATTATCATACAAGTTAAACCTTTTTTTCAACCCCTATTTTTCCAAGAAATCATAAATTTACCTTTCCAAGATCAGCGAATATATTGAGTAATTGAATTTTTCTCTTTAAAACCCTAAATTAACCCTTAACAGATTTAACAAATTTAAGAGAGCCAATACGTCTGACTGTTTTTTCTCTTTTTTTACGTCATCTTCACTTATGTATTCTTTATCATTGAGAACACGTTTTCTATAAACCTGGCAGATACAAACTTCCATTAATTTTTTTCGGCAGACGCAAATTAGCTTTTATTTTGAGTTTACCTTGAGTGCTTGGGTCCAAAAAAAAGAGTTGAAATGATAAAAAGAAGGTAAATAACCAAATACTTGCGCCTTATCACAAATAATTAATTTTCAAACAAATTTATTAGATCCTATGTACATAGTTGTCTTGTTCGCCAAAGCAGCGGCTTTAAACGACTTAAATTACCTGATTCTGAAAAGTTAGCACCTTAGATGATAAATGGCTTGAAAAGATTTATTGACATATTAAATAGTTAACATATTCTACTTTAAATGTACATCATGATCACTAATTTTTTGAACAGCCCTCGTAAGGTAGACAAATATTTCTAAGCATTAGCGGAACTATGTCGCGCTTATCAGTTTGTCAATGTTTGCACCTTATGAAGGAAAACTCTCTTAAAATATGGTTCTCTTCTAAAGCTCTTCATATGCATTATGATAAAGTTAATAAGCAAATATTATTCTTAACAAAAAGTAGATACATACTTGTGCCAGGATTAATAATATTTACAAAAGGTATTAAAAAAAATTTAATATTAATAAATATTAATTATTATATAAAAAAATACATTTTAAATCAATCAGATTAACACCTTTTAAATAGTTTACTAAACTAATCTATAATTTTTTGCAGGCACGATGATACCCAAGTCGGGCGGAGATTACGCCTATATAGGCACTGCATTTGGCCCCCTGCCTGCGTTTCTTTATCTATGGGTGGCCCTGCTGATTCTGGTGCCCACGGGTAACGCCATCACGGCACTGACCTTCGCCCAGTATCTGCTGAAACCTTTCTGGCCCTCCTGCGAGGCGCCCATCGAAGCGGTGCAGCTGCTGGCGGCTGCCATGATATGTAAGATCCGCTGATAGGCGCGATTAATCAGTTGTGTTACTACGGCTCCGACTAATTGCTTGCCCTCTGACCTTAGGTGTGCTGACGCTTATCAACTGCTACAACGTTAAGTGGGTGACACGTGTGACGGACATCTTCACGGGCACCAAGGTGGTGGCTCTGCTGGTGATTGTCGGCGCCGGAGTCTGGTGGCTGTTGAATGGCAACACGGAGCACTGGGAGCAGCCGTTCGCTGGAGGCGTTAAGGACGCCGGCTTCATAGCTCTGGCCTTCTATAGCGGCCTCTTTTCGTACTCCGGATGGAACTATCTGAACTTCGTTACCGAGGAGCTCAAGGATCCGTACCGCAATCTTCCAAAGGCCATTTGCATCTCCATGCCGGTGGTCACCATCATCTATATGATCACGAACATTGCATACTTTTCGGTGCTCTCTCCGGACGAGATTCTATCGTCGGATGCAGTGGCCGTCACCTTTGGCGACAAGATGCTGGGCTTTCTGTCCTGGATAATGCCATTCGCGGTGGCCTGCTCCACTTTCGGATCCCTTAATGGAGCCATCTTCGCCTCCTCGCGACTCTTCTTCGTGGGTGCCAGAAATGGTCACCTGCCAGCAGCCATTTCGCTGATCAACGTCAATTGCCTGACGCCTGTGCCGTCGCTGATATTCCTGGTGAGCTATAAGTAAATCCTACAATCAGGAACAGTCCAAAGCCTGGAGCTATAAGTAAATCCTACAATCAGGAACAATCCGAAGCTGGAAAAAATAGGCTACGTGATCAGGAAACTAAAAGGCTTTCACTATGATTTATCAAATTCGGTTTCTTCCGTTTTGTTCCCCTCTCATTTGAGTGAAGCTTAATTTAATATAAAAACATTTTTACGATATCTTAAAAGTATAAATATTCCCTGTAATGTAATTTCTTTGAACATAAAGTGCAACTCGGCATAACACTCAAGGGTAAACTGAATTAAATCGATTAATTAATCTATCAAAATTGTATTTACACATTCAATAAAAAATACCACAAATTTATATATACATATACAACTACTAGAATTAAAAACATTTTATAAAATTGCTTATTTTTTGCTCTTGCAAGTGGTAAAAATTAACGGATTTAATTTAGAATATCAGGTTTTATTTTTATAAGATAAATTAATTTAAAATGTTCAGCCAGCGAACACTTAAGAACTATACTTTATGTTCTTTTAATAATCGTTACTTTTCTCTTTCTCAGGGCGTACTTACCCTGCTGCTGCTGTTTATCAAGGACACCTATGTCCTGATCAACTACGTCAGCTACGTGGAGGCGCTGTTTACACTGATCTCGGTATCCGGACTACTGTGGCTGCGCTACAAGCAGCCCAAGACGGAGCGACCCATCAGAGTCAGTTTGGCACTGCCCATAATTTATCTGATCGTCTGCTTGTTCCTGGTGATCTCCTCGTGCTCGCAGTCGCCTTACGAAGTGGGAATTGGCACGATCATCATACTGTCTGGTATTCCTGTCTACTATCTGACCATTCACAATCCAGTTAAATGGCTGGCGGACACTTCGCAGACCATCAACCTGTGGTGCTCCAAGTTCTTCATCTGTATGCCAAACCAGGAGAAGTTCGACTAGGATTGGAGGACTCTGCGATTTAGTTGGGGGAGTGCCTTTTGTAGATGTATGGATTAACACAGCTATCGAAGGAAATATCTTGTAGTTAGCCTAAGTCTCAGTTTACGAATAAGATAGTTAGCTACGCGAAATTTGGAAACCTACGCACAACATTACAAAAGTGTTATTGTAAATAACTCAAATGCATTCTGGTGGGGAAGTCCCCTGCTCAATTTATTATTATGATTATTTGCTAATATTATTACTATTGTATATTTCACCCAAAAAAATAGTTCCTCGTCAAAAGCAGAAATTGAGACACACGAAGCATGTCTATCATACAAAATGCGAACCAATTTTTATATATTATACAAGTAATTAAGAGCTTATTTAGTAATTAATAATTATTATTGAGCATATATTGCGACATGTATAAAATCGAATTTGTTTTGTATAAGAAAGTTAATAATAAAACAATATTATCTTAAAATCAAAAATTGGTCTTAAATGGTCTTTGGCTTTTAAAGAGAAAGTTAATTACACCAGTGTCATCATTAATTGAAGGGAAAAATTAATTACAACCTGATACCGATTTTCAACTAGTTAAACTTACAATAGTACAATCAAGTTTTAAACGAATTTTTGGTAGAAGTAAAAAATTTAAAATTTAAAATACCTATTCCTCAATTCCTTAAAGTACATATTCCTATACCTATTGTACCTATATTTAGATTTTATCGGGAACTTGTGTTCATTTGAGCCGATGTGGTTTCTGTGTCACAACATATATTATCTTCTATTAGAGTTGTTTCGAAAACTGTTTAATGTTAATTCTAAAATCCTCTCTCATTCGATTGATCAGCAGGGACCCCAAGAAAACTCCAAACAGGAAACGCTTTTGTTTGAAGGATGAGATGAGATATTTGTGGTCGAGTATTTCGCACGAGGTGTTTGCCGACCATCAGCAATGAATGAACAACATTCGGCTAGTCTGGTACAAACTACAAAGTTATAAACGAAGTTAAATTTTAACACATTTAAGCGTCAAGAATACACAAAATTCCGAGAAATACAAAGAAAACATTTACTAAAGCTTACTTAACTAGCAATTAAAAACAAGCAAATATGATAAGGCACTGCCCGTGGTACAATTCAAATAAAGGCCCGAAAATGTCGCCTCTACGTGGAATATAGTCTACGACAGTAAAAAAAAATTAACTTACATTTAAATGATAAAATATAATAAATAAAATTTGTATGCAGTTAATTATATGCCAGATTTTAAGCGATAGCACGTTTTAGACGTAGTAACGGCCAGACGATTGAAACCGTTTTAGTTGTCAAATTTAGTGGCCCAGCGAAAGCTTTTCCAAAGCTTAGCCCGAATGGCAGTTAAGTTTGCAGCGAGTGCGCAGAGTGATGAGAAGCCCCGAGAGAGAGAGAGGGAGAAAGGAGAACCCGCCACTCGCCGAAAGTCGTATAAAAACGTTGCGTGGGCGAAACTGTCATTTCAAAAGACCGTTGAACGGATCGGTAGCTGGCCGCAGCGGTACGGATCGCACGCGTCTGTGAAAACTCGAGAAAATCCCGCCGAAGCGCCGTGAAATGCCGAGCGTCCAGTAGAGCGCGAGTTCGTTAAAAAAAAAAAATAATACAATAACAACAATTTACCACTCGAGTGTTCAGTTCATTAAGATGGCCGAAAAGCAGGTGCTGGTCTTAACCCTCCTGTGCCTGGGTTCGCTTTTTTTCGGAACCGTACGGACTTCCACAGAATATAATCGCTACCTGGCCCAGATATTCCAAAAATACGGCAACGGCGGGACAATCAACTTTGAGGTAATAACCAATAAACCATCGAACTAGCCTTGTAAACACACACAAGAGTAATTTGAGCACAGGTAAACAGGGGTAAACAAAGTCGGACACGGACAAAGCTTTTGCGGTTAATGTTATGGCAAAAAATTAGTGAGTTTGTGTCTTTTTTTATTTTTTTTATTTTGGGACAGCAACAAAAACAAAGGGAGTTGGGGGGAAAGGGGTTTATATAAATTAGAGTTCATCAAATATTTGGTCATTGTGAAAGCCAAGCAGTTATATTCTGGCCAAGTTGGCAAACAGGCAAACAAAACACTCTCGACAGTTATAAACTCGCGTCACTCTTAAAAGGTTGTAATCTTTATAATACGCGGAGCCATTTTATAAAACGGTGGGGGCGCTGAGGAGCAGTCGTCGTCTCGTTGGCAATGTATGATACAAAACGTAGACTTTATTGCGGGCATTATCATAAATTTAATCAAAATCCAGACAAACGAACAACACACAGTGTGATATATAGTGCGAGACTTGAGCATCCACACGAGTGTCGTAGTAGCGTCCAACATCCTCCGTTATCCAAATCAGAGATTAGGAAATTACCCCGATAAGACTGTTTTGTTTCCTCTAATGAGGATGAGGGATAGCTGACGAAATAGAAGACCAGCCATCTACAATGACTTTCGCAAACCGATCGTTATGCTTATGGACTCCAAAGTTATGGACAGACCGCCCGAGTCCATACAATCCGAGCCAATTGACATTACTCATGCGTATAGTCTACGCAATACGCTCTGTCCATTTAAATGGCACGTTACTAAAGTGTTTCTACTTTTTACGCACTCTGCATGCTAACATTAAAGGTCCCCACCCCCCTGGCCACCCACTACATTTTCTATTATCATTCTAATATTCCAATTTCGATTACATAGTATACTTGGCACACAAACAAATATTCGCTGAATGAAAGTAAAACTGCCATTTGGTGGCTTCATGAGCTCCATAATAAATACGTTTTTATTTTTCGGTTTTTTATGCCAGCGCGTGTTTGGCTTAATGTTTGTTGATATGCAAATTCTGAAGTCCTGATCTTGGTTAAGAAATTCTTTGGAGCCACTCATCGTTCACCTGACACACGCCCCAATCCCCGGCGACAGGTAGCTGTCAAGGCAATTAGATGAATTTCCCCCCACCCACAAGCCTCCTCCCACTTTTCCGACAGCAAAAATGCGGCAGACAACAGATATAACAATAGACAAATGAATTCAGATGTAAATATAATTGCCTGGCACGTTGACAAGTAAATCAAGTAATTAACTGTGATAGATCGGAGCCAATGCAAATACACACTTTGACAAATTAGCGTAAAGTTTGCAAGTGCGATTTGTGGGCGGGAAAATTTATGAAGTACAAATTTATTCTACAAACAAATTGGCTTGTTTTTAACGGAGATTTTAGGGCGGTCACTTAATCGAAACAGCTGACAGTTGTTTTGTTCTCATATATCTAGTAATTCTAAAAATAATGTTTTAAATAGGCTTTAAAAGTTCAAGGTTGATCTTAATATTAAATATGAATAGTTGAGGGAAATAACACATTCCAAGTCCTCTCTGAGTCATAAACATTTTCCGAACTTTGGAAAAAAATCGATAATTTCAGGAACATTTTATTTTAATTTAATTTAGAATTAGTTAAAGTCTAATCATTTGTTCGCTTAAATCTTGTAAAACCTATTAAATATTGTATTATCTGTAGAACAAAATCGTAGGCCTCTAATAAATTACAGAAATTAACAGTTTATCTTATCTTTTAAAAATTCGCTGGTGTTTATGTTTAGCAAGTGCCACCTGTTTGTACTCAAGCACTATATTTATAAGAATGCAATCTTAATATTTTAATGCTTAACATTTTTAGTTTGTGCTTCGCTATTACCATTTATTATATTTAATTTAATTTACAAATGTTGTAAATCAATTTCCAGGGTCTTGAGCATTTGATGTTCAGCTTGAACTTGGGTCAAATCCAATTTGACCCCTCACACACGATCGATCAGCATCGACCCAAAGGATACTCCGACGGGACAGCTCACAGGATCAATGTCAGTAGTTACTTTGAGCCAGTGCGAGGCTTGAACACCAACGATGAGGAAGCTCTGGAGGTGCAAATCTCAACGCCTTCTGGTAATCTCTCAAGGTCAGAGACTGCCCCAGAGGTGCCGGAATTCCTGGAAATGCATGACCCCAAGCACAGACATCCAAGGGAGAGCTCTGGTGAGTAGTGTAGCCGTGTTGTGTTTGTTTCACAACTGCCCCAGGGCTATCTTTATGGTGGGGATTTCGCACTTCACTTCTAGCAGGCTGTTTGCCGACCATCAGCAATGACTGATAATACTTCAGATAGGATAGTGCAGACAACAAAGTCGTAAACAGTAGGCTAGATTTTCTCACATTTAGCTCGCGTCCCATGAATCCACAAAAGCCGAGAGATTGAAAGAATACTCGAATTGAAGCTTACTTGACTAGCAATTATAAACAAGCAAATAGGATAAAGAACCACCTGTGACACAATACAAATTGAGGCCGGGTAAATGTCGCATCAGAATGAAAGTACGTGTATATATAGATGAAGCCGGGGCCTCGACTCTTTCCATCAATTGGCCGATTTCCAAGTGCAAGGCGACCGGCGACCGGCGACTGCGGTCTATCATCAATTCAATTATGCCATCCCATCCTCCCATCTCATTTGGTTGATAGGAAGTTCCGTCTGTGATCGTGGCCTTGTCGCATAAATTATCAGATATACATATACATACGTATTCAAATTATCAGATGCGTATATCTCTCTCCTTTTGGGCAGTAAATGTAGCCGTAAATCAGCAGGTAGGAAAGATCATTGTCAGCAGGCGGCGAAAACAGGGCAATAACAAGATTAACGAACGCATTATGGATGCGGAAATCCAAAACAAAACAACAATTGAAACAGCTACAGATGCAGATACAGAACGAGAAACAAACAGGCCTCAATCGCTTCGTTTGTTATTTTTGTTGGTTAGGCTTTACAGTTAATTGAAGTGCACACAGTCATTACAACGTTGTCCCATATAAATTTAACACTAAACCGGCGACTAAATGAATGGCAAGTTCGCACATGCGAATTGGATAACAATCAACCGATGAGAAAGCAACGCGTCGGGATCGGAGAAATGTAATTGTTGGGATTTCCACAGAAAAACAGTGACAAAGCTTGAGAAGTAAACATGATTTCTTAGGGAAAGTGAAAATTCTCCATGCCTAGCTCTATAAATAAAACACTTAATAGTCTTGAAATAGAACTAAAAGGTTACATACCATACACTTAAAGAAGCTCTAAATTTTACATCTTTGGTCATGATTTAAATTCAAATTACAAGTGATATTTGTTAAGATTTAACATTATATTATTACAGTGCATACTGGGGTTTCACTAGGAAATGATTATAAACACAAACATATAAATCGTAATCAGATCCGAAATTGTATTATTTTTTTTTCGGTCTAAATTCGATTGAAAAAAAAGCTTAACAAATGATGTTTCCCCATTTCAGAACCTGTGGCCGCTTGTTTATCCCCAAAATCTCTGCTTTCTCTGCTCGTGGACCACAATGATCTCCACAAAAACATTGCCTACACAAAATTGATCAGGAAGGATGGTTCTACTGATTCCATGCACAACTCGGAGGAGGAGTACAATGAGTTCATCAACTCGGTGAGGATAACACCGAGAGCCTTTATGAAACTATGTCCAGCCTTACTGGCTCAAATCGACAATGGAGTTTGCAAGCAACCAGCTCCACAATTGGAAAATCTCCACGATAAGAACCAAAAGATTTGGTACGGTAAGTGTCACAAATTATATTCGTGGTTACAAAATAACTTACAGATCTTTTTCAGCATGGATTTATGCCAGCATCTCCATGCTGATTCTCTCTGCGTGCGGTTTGCTGGGCATTCTGCTGGTTCCTCTGATGAAGACAGCCGCCTACCAGGAAGTCCTCAAGTTTCTGGTGTCCATTGCCGTGGGCACTTTAGCCGGCGATGCCCTGATGCACTTGCTCCCCCATGCTCTCTTCAAGGAGGAGAAACACGAGGTGGAGGTGACTGGCGTTAATCCCCTGGAATCGGATCACAAACATAGCAACGAGGCTGCCCTGCTCTGTGGTTGCTCCTTCTTGGCGGCCCTCTTCATGTATATGCTGGAGAATCTGATACCTTTGCTGAAGGGAGGCAAACCAGGTCACGGACATAGCCACGGACATGGTCATAGCCATGGTCACGGTCACGGTCACGGTCACGGTCACGGTCACGGTCACGGCCATAGTCACAGTCAAGCGGAGAAGCCAGCTTCACAGGATGGTCCTGATTTTCCAGCTCCTCGAGAACTTAATGTAATGCTGCAGGAGGCCAAGTTGGATGAGAAGACCCCCGATCGTCCACTCACCCCAGTTGCCTTTATGGTTATCATCGGCGATGGGTTGCACAATCTCACGGATGGCCTGGCCATTGGTGCAGCTTTTGCCAGCGATCCGGTCACTGGATTTGCCACCGCCTTTGCAGTCCTCTGCCACGAACTGCCGCATGAGCTAGGTGATTTCGCTCTGCTCCTCCAAACTGGTGTGTCCATGCGGAGAGCCGTTTACATGAACATTGTGAGCTCCGTTCTCAGCTTTGTGGGCATGTCCGTGGGTCTTTTCATTGCCGGAATCGGCGATGATATGACCCAATGGATTTATGCAGCTACGGCTGGTTCCTTCCTTTACATCGCCTTTGCCGATCTGGTGCCCACAATGAGTGTGGCCCACAATCCGGAGATGGCCAAAGATCCCAAAGGTATTATTATACAAATCATTGGTATCCTCCTGGGTGGACTGATAATGTTGGTAATTGCCCTGAAAGAGCACGATTTGGAGGGTCTGTTCAAGAGCTTTTAAAAACTGTTGGGAATCTCAAGCAGATACAAGTGTTGTTTCCGTTTTCTTATTGTAGATATTAGCATATAAGCCTGTTTCCTCGAAATCTCCGATTCTATGCCTTCTCTCAAGCATGCCTTAAATGTTAAAGATGAAATCGTTACCAAATGTTAAAGTCTGTGGCCACAAAGTGTAAACTTGATTTAAACAGCACTTTCCCTAGTGTTATAGAAATCTCTAGATTTTAAAATATGTTGTTAGGGTGTTTTAAAGACCAAATTAAAATAGAGAACTGCTTTTGCCCAAGTAAGATAAAACTTTAAAGGAAAAAAATCAATTTTTAAAATGACCACAAGTGTTCCATAGAATAAATTCATTTTACTTTTGAACGCTGAATTCATTACTTTAAAAGTAAAATTTTCCTGAAATGTATTCCCCAAAATAATTTAAGAAGTGAAAATTGTAAAAAATCCAATATTTGTTATAAAATACTTTTTAAAAAGGTTTATGTTTTTGTAACAAACAATGACGCTCTTTATTGATTTACCTTTAAACACTTATTGTATAGTTCTAAATATTAAAGAACGTTTTAAGATAATTGCAGTTGTTGTTGTTGTTCCTCAAAAGGTTCGTTGGGCAGACGTGCGGGGCTCTTAAATAAAATACAAAATATTGCTTAAAAACTGTCACAGAAATGCTTAATTTGAAACTTAAAACTTTTGAGTCAAAAGGAATACTCACAGGTTTCTTCGATCGCTCCTCCAGTATGCCAAAAGCCACGTGGTTCAGCTGGAAGCCAGCGGGCAGAGCTACACCCTGAATGCGATAGAAGGCACTTGCTGGGCCTTCCTCTGCAACTTTGAGGGCCGCCGAGATGGTGCATTTGCCGAGGAAGCCAGTGGAGCCAACCATCGGACCACGTGAGATGTCAATGTGATCACCCATTCGATATAAGGTCACTCTTCCTTGGGTCTGCTGTGCAATGCTGGGTAACTGCTCGCTCTTGTACTTGGAATCCTTGAACATCTCCTGAGCGAGATCCTGCTGCACGTCCAAGCGCTCTATGCGCAGATCCTGTGCGGCCAGTTTAACCATCTCCGCCGAAATGGCGCGCATCTCCTCCTTCGAGGGCTGCCATGTCTGGGTCTGCAGCACAATATCATGGACAAAGCTGCCCGATTTAACTATGATAGGAACAAGAAAAAAGATTAATTTAAGTACTACAGCTTATTCGTACATAAATTTTTTATATGAATGTGTTAAGTACATTTTAGCAAAGAGTATTATAATTTCAGTAAAAAGTTTTGCAACGCAGTGAAGCACTATATATACATATATTCTTGAGCAGCATCACTAGGACAATTGATCTTTTCGTTTATACTCAATCCTAATATTTAAAGGTATCTGAATGAAACTTGCCAAGAAATCTCTTCTCTATTGCAGTTAATATGTGACTCGGGCGACTTTTACGAATTCAGAACTTCGATTTTAATATGACAAAATTTAAATTATTCTTTAAACTTTTGTTCATTAAAGCTTTAATACAAAAACACTCGCCTTGTTGTTAAAATGTATTTTACTTAGATAGAGTTCAAAATATGGTGTGTAAAGGTATTATGAAAATTAAAAATATATCAATAATCTTTGAAAGCAGACTAAAAACACAAATCCAAAAGTAACACAGTAAAAGCTTTTCAACTAATATTTAAGTTAAAGTATCACTTGAACTAAATTCCAGCTCTGAGTGTTTAGTTGTAATTAGGAATTTAAATTTATTATTTGATTACTTAACCACTTTTCTCTTAAAAACTGGGAAGTGATGGAAAGTTTACAATTCTGAATTAAAAAAATATGCAGAAAAATCCTTTCAGAATCAATGACGATTAGTCTTGTCTTTTTTTTTTTGTGTACCAGTGTTTTCAAATCTCTCCAAAAATATTCTGAGGTGCTTCATCAGTGCTTCTCCTGAACTACTCATAAAGCTTATAAATCTTTATATTTTTACTTACTGTTGGGTCCAGGGAAGCTATGCAGCTGCAGATTGGCTTCCGGTTTAAAAGCCCGGTTTAGGGCGGCTCCCAACATGAAACTGCAAGTGCGCCAAAACGCTCTGCAAGAAAGGTATTGGAGTTAGAATAATATACACTTATGACAAAGTAAGGCAGCACACCCACTTGTTGACCACGTGCGGCTCGGAAACATGGAAGTTGAGCAGCTGCAGGGTGCAGGATTCCTGCAAGGGTCTGTGCATATCCCAGGGCACACTGCCGTCAATCAGGGCCAGCGCCGAGCGCTTGCAGTGTCCCTCACTCAGGTGCTGGGCACAATTGAAGGGCGTGGAGATGTTGCTGTTCATCACCAGAGTGACATCTTCGGGAAGTCCGAGATACCGAACCTCGATCTTATCAATACGGCCCACTGCATCTCTTTGACGGCGCTGCTCCTGGTTGAACAAGTCGTTCCGCTTGGCTATCGAAGCGCTGAAGTTGGCTGTAAATAAATTGGAAATTTTTCTAAATTTGTTCGTGGTTTGATAAAAGTAAAAATAATTCGGTAAATGTTGGACACAGAAAATAAAAAGATAATTATTATTAGCAACTATAAATAATAAGCCATTACTACATATCGATTGGTTTTTAAATTATTTTTTCTATGGTTCCTATGGGAGCAATATTATAGTCTTCCGATGTACCGAACATTAAAGAAATTGTAATGTTTCGTTTTCTTTTTTTTTTGTTTAGGTATGTTTTTACTCTTAATTTAAAACAAGTCCTAAATAAATTTACCACTGTGAATATAAATCTTAAATATCTCTTTAAGTTTTTTAAATTTTAATTGCTTTTGAAGTTAAAAAATGAACTAATAAAATAATTTAATCCACTCTGTATATGGGCTTTGATTTATATGTTCCTGATTTCAAAAGATATTTAAATAATAAAATTTATATTGAAATCTAGCTATCTAGCAACAAGACACCGCCAAGCATGCCATCACTGGCTTAGCGCTCCACTAAACGTGAGGAACCACCGGCATTATGTAAACCACTTCATCGGCCTTTGATCAATAAAAGGACTTCTAAATAGCGTTACTTACTCTTGGTTCTGTATTGTTGGAGCTGCCGAAGGGCGCACCAGCTCGTTTTATGTAATTTTGTGGCCGCAGACATGGTAATTTACCAAAATACTTTCCAGGGATGCGATGGCAAAACGATAGAGATGGCACAACGGCAGTGGCCCTATACGAGGGCTACCAATAAAGTAATATATATCGATACTTGTGTAAATACAAAATTTTTTTGCATTTGTTTTATTTATCTTATATATATATTTTATAAGAGTGTTTTTTTTTTAACTATGTAAAAAAGAACAATTACCTTAAAAATTAATCTTACATATGTTAACTTATAATTTATTAAAAAAACAACCGCGATAGTTAGGAAATAATCGACAGTGACTGTAAAACTTTACTATCGATGTTGTATCGATGTCACTTCCAGCTCTATCACGCCTTCAACAATTTTGTTTGTCATCCCGCTCGGCAAAAAACAAGGCAATTTAACTTCTTCGTGTGAATATAATTGAAATAAAAAGCACAAACTATGGATTTGGATATGGCACGCGATCTGCCACGCGCTGGCTTCAATTTCGACAACTGCAAGCGGTGAGAATCATCTGAGTTGTCTAGAAATCTCTCAGCGGCTTTTATTAAATACTCCATGTTTGCTTTCAGCAATGCGACTCTTTTAACCAAGGGCTTCAAGCCACCGACCACCACCAAAACGGGAACCACCATCGTGGGCATTATCTTCAAGGATGGTGTTATCCTGGGCGCCGATACCCGTGCCACCGAGGGACCCATCGTCTCGGACAAGAACTGCGCCAAGATCCACTACTTGGCCAAGAATATATAGTAAGTCTATAGATCGTCCAAAGTGTGTCCACAAGGGTTATTGCTCTGACTTCACTTCAAAGTTTCGGTAGATAAAATGCCACATTTAAATGCCTTAATAATGGCCACAGGCTTAAAACCTGAGCCAGGTGCATTTTTTTTATACAAGGGAGCTTAGCTTATTTTATTGACAATAGAGGGTACTCTTTGTTCTATAATTGGTATACAAAATTTGCAATTTTGACTGCAGTTTATTTGGCTTCTAAATTACAGATTCCAATTTGAGGAATCGGTAGTTTCTTTAAAGCCAACTTATTTCCTCCGATCAAGATCTACACACATAACAAAAAAACTTATTAATGCAGCTGCTGTGGAGCTGGAACCGCTGCGGACACCGAGATGACCACAGATCTGATCTCCTCCCAGCTGGAACTGCACCGCCTGCAAACAGAGCGCGAGGTGCGCGTGGTGGCCGCCAATGTGATGCTGAAGCAGATCCTCTTCCGCTACCAGGGTCACATCAGTGCCGCCCTGGTGCTCGGCGGAGTGGATAAGACCGGACCCCACATTTACTCCATCCATCCACATGGAAGCTCGGATAAACTGCCCTATGCCACCATGGGATCGGGCTCCCTGGCCGCCATGACCGTGTTCGAAAGCCGCTGGAGACCCGATATGACCGAAGAGGAGGGCAAGAGACTGGTGCGCGATGCCATCGCCTCTGGAGTGTTCAACGATCTGGGATCCGGATCCAACATCGATCTGTGTGTGATCCGCAAGGGCAGCGTGGAATATCTGCGCAACTATGAGCTGGCCAACAAGAAGGGCGAGCGCCAGTTGGACTACCGCTTCAAGCACGGAACCACTCCCATTCTGCACACCACCGTCAAGGATCTGCTGGTCACCGAACGCGTCCAGGTGGTGCCCATGGAAACGGCTTAGATGGATTCCCTCTTCTACCTTTTCGTACATTTATTATAAAAGAGCTTTGGCTCGGTGGATCTGCTTGGAGTGGTTCAATAAAAGAAGCCATGCTTCACCTTAAGTCAGTTTTTTATTCAGGCATTTTATTAGACTAGCGATACTCCTACAAGGTCGATGCTTTGGTCATAAACGAACACTAGCCAGGGACCGATTAAGTTTTTGAATTACACCCTGTTAAAACTATAATTAATAACTAAATTTGTCTTGAATAGTATAATAGTATATAGAATAACGTAGTCGACTTTAACTAAAACCTCAAAGTATTATTGGCTGACGGTCCCTGGCATAAACTTATTAATAACTATCAAAAGATATTTCCCATTTGGGATCTGTCACTAAAAGCTTAACGAGTAATTTAGCTAATATCACATGGTAAAGAGGGTCAATTCCTAACAGTTGAAGGCACTTTCCATCTCCTTAGACTAACAGATTAATTGGCACCAAGAATTCACTTGATTGAGTCAGATGATACACACTCCTCCTAGGACTAACTTAAACTATGATTAACCTAAAAGCTAACAGAAGTAGGGGGAGTATCCAAATGGTGTGGGAACCATAAGATTTTGCTCCATTTGGTGTGGGTTCTAGTAGATGTGACACCGTCAAACAGGAAAGCGCCAGATTGGTGGTGATCCTCGGCGATTGGGCGTTGATCAGGGAGGATATCTTCTCTGCCTCGCGGGTGCAGGCCTCCAATTGAAGGCGAGTGGGTCTCTTGATCCTACTAGAGGGCACTACGGCCACAAAGATGCCCACTTCCATGGTGAGGAATCCTGTCAGCTGGCATTCGCTGACCTGCACCAGTCCATCGAGTTGTTGGAGCACCCCATGCAGGGTCAAAAGGTTGCTGCCCTGAGCCCTCAGTCCGTACATGGCCCGATCGAACTGCTTCCTGGAGTAAATGATCCTGAAGGCGCCACCAGCGCACAAGGGGCAACATGCTCCTGGCGGGACAATCAAGCGACAGTGCTTGGATGCGGGAGCTGGACACTGGACAGTTCGACAGCGTCGACCCATATCGCTGGCTAGCAGTCCCACCTCCCGACATCGACCTATATAATCGACCATCACGTATTCAGCTCTGGCCGCATGACTACTCTTGTAGGTCACTCCATTGATTCCACAGACTGGTGAGGGTGAGGCAGCATAGCGATTCGATTGACACGCGGACCAATAGGCCACTTGGCCCTGAGGATTGGCCTTCAGCAGGGCACAGGCATTGGGATGAGTGCGCCCTTGGATATCACATACCTCACCCTGATGAAACGAGGAACAGTTCGAAGCGGTGGCGTTCACTGCAAAAATGAAACCATTAATAAGATGCCAATGCAGGACAATCATTTTTATTTATGCCTCTATTTTGCTGTGGAGCTCCCATTTACCCTACATTAATACATTAAAATTTAAAAAATGTAATATTAATGAACAAAATTAAAATATGATCAAAAAATCCTCTACTATTTAATACCCGTTACTCAGCTTATAAATTTTAGAAAATAATCGGGTTTTAGGTGACGCCATCTGCCGAACTGCAGGGTCACTACAACAAGCTATGAGCAAGCAATCGGTATTTTGGTGGCGCCATCTGCCAAACATGAATTCTAACTAAAATAATGATTCGCTTTGGAAAATTCTATGAATATCGACTCATTTACGTTATTGTCTATTGCTTCTCAGTGTTACATGGTAAACTTTCTCGATTTGTGGCGTTAGAATTTATAAATTTAAAATTTCTGGCTTTCATTGTTTCTGAGACGGACAAGCAGACGGGAATGGCTAGATCGGCTCAGTTCCTGATCCTGATCAAAAATATATTTACTTTATAAAATGTTATATACTTTTTTTTTTGATCAAATTATTTTTGTAATTTTTGGGTGAAGATTAAAGAATCTTCTAATACTTTCGCACAAATGATTTTCTATTATTTTATATAAAACATTTCCTCAGCTTTTATATTCATAGATATTGGATGAGTCTGGAATGGTGTCCTGACCAAGCTAGACAAGACCTTAGCAGGCAAGTAAACTTTAGTGTTTGTTTTAATACAAAATAGAAAGAAGTCCCCTGCAACGTACCACAAACATACTGCAGACATGGCCGCTGCATGCTAGCCAGGCACACCTTCCTGTTGTCCAGACACTGCGTTCCAAGGGGGCAACTATTCGGGGGAGCTGCCTGGCAGGCGTTCCGGGCATTGCAGGCTCCGTAGACGTAGTCGCCCTCCGGCAAATGGCACTTGGCCACGCAGGCCGAGGGATAGGTGTTCCCGTTGGAGCCGCAAACGGGAACATAGTGTGCTGGACAGTTGCAGGGGAGACTAGTGTAGCCCGAGTCTGCGAATCCCGGCAGGCGACACTGCTGCTTGGTGCAAGTGATCTCCCCGGCGAAGCAACTGCAAAGGTTACATTCCAGGTAGAAAGAGGAGCCATGCGGGTAACTTCTGGCTCCGGGAAGGATGCAGTTGGCATGCATGTAGCTCGGCAGGGGCTGACACTGCTCCAGGCGACCCTGCAGTCCACACGAGCAGACTATGTGCTCGGCCAGAGGAAGCTGACCCACTTCCACCTTCCTGTGGAGATTGCTCTTTCCCAGTCGCACATACGACCCAAAGGGCACAAACAGCTTGGAGTCCTGTCCCAAATTGCAGCCTGGAATGCAGGAGTAGCCTTGATTGCCTCCCCGCTGCAGGATGCAAACCTCGCTGCCATTGCAGGGTTTCTTGGAGCAGGGCGAGGTGATGCCTTGGGATTCCTCTGGATTGGCAGCCCCGGGATTCAGATAGCTTCCTAGGGAAATGCATGGCAGAGGAGCATCCTCATCCTTTTCCTTTAGCCCAGAGCATATGTCCTTCGGTCGCTGATGCTGCCGCGTCCAGTCCAGACACTCGTCCAGGATCTGGTGGCAATCCTCACTGCAAATGCCATTGAAGAGACCCACTCGCGTACAGGGCTTCAATTGCAGGGCGCACACCAATGCCTGCCACTTTTCCGGAGCACACCGACTGGTGTTCTTGATGAAGAGCTCCTGGCCCAGCACCCTTACGGTTCCCCTCTGCTGCAGCAGCTGCAAATCCTCTCGAGCAGCTGCATCATGCTCTGGCGTACAGCTGCGGAACAGTTCCGTGGGTCGATTATTAAAGTTGGTGCAGAAACTTAGACCCTGACAGCCCAGTTCACAGGGTGCATCCACACTTTCGATGCACCGTCGCAGCTCCCTTTCTCCTGGCTGATCCATGCACTCGTTTTCGAAACTCGTTCGTGCATCCCACCAGTTGCTGGCGAAGATCTGGTTGCAAAGTCTTCGGCACTTGTGGCTGCCAGCTTGTTCGCAGCACTGTCTTTTGGCCGCATCCATTCCCAGATGATTGGGTTCCCCCAGCGATCCTCCTTTGCCAGACAAGTGGCCTTGGGACAGCGATCCTCCCGGTCCTCCCGTTCCACCCGGAACATATAGTTTTCCCGTCACCGTAAGGAAGCACTGCCAAAAGGGAAGTTGGGGCAGAGGAGAGCCACATCCTGCTGCCTCTAGGCGCGAGAAGATCACCTCACTCCGTTCCATTAAAGTGGCATTCTGGTGAAGGATGTTGCGACAGGTATGACGACAATGCTCCTTGTTGCTGTACTCGCAGCAGGGGATATCTACGGAAACATATTTTAAAAGCACTTAACTATGGAAAATGTTTGACTTTCTTACATTGCTCCGCATTCGCCAGTGGAGTCATGTCCGTGTTGTTGTTTATGCACTGAATCACATCCGAATTGCGATCTCCACAGGCTCCGTTGATGTCCACATGGTCATGGTTATCATTCGCAGGCTCAAAAACGGCTCGACACGCCTAAATAAATTATTTAATAGTTAACACTTATTTATCAAAATATTTTAATAATTTAAGAAAAATTATCCCTAACTAAATTAATTGGTCAGAAAAGTATTTACCAATTAGTTTCTCCTTTTTTTAATGCCTTTAAGAAAACCTTACAAACTTGATATTTTGAGTTTGCACACAATACCGATTCCGATTCATTTGCCTTTCAAAAATAATCATATGTCAAATAAGTCTATCATGAAAAATAGTGCAATATGTCACGAACAATAACCAATTAGCATACATATCTGCCAATATTAGCAACAAGTTTGCTTTTCTATTTAACGTTTTGTAGGTGCCAAAAGTACCATAGTCATTTTCAAAAACTTGAACACTTAATGTGTGAAGTAAAAATAAAATTATGAATTCACTGGGTTTTTTTTAAATACTTTTAACAATCTATAGATGTCTAAAATTGAGTTACGGCAAACGAAACTATCGTTGTAGGGAGTGCAATGTGTGATGAAAAATTAAAAACGTTGTGGTTGCGCTAAAAATGAGTCTGACCAAAACTTCAATTAAGCCACTAAATAATACAATAAATATATATAATAATAATTTTTGAGTTTTGGTGAACATTAGTTAACTACTATTATTTTATTACAAAGTGGAGTTTTAGACGAAGGCTTTGGTTTTTGAATTTAGATGGTACAAATACCTTGTTGCATGATAGTGAAGGTTTATGACATTGTGACTTGATTTTTTTTTCTTATTAAAATTTTTAAAATGTCTATATAGATTCCGATTACAACGGGCGATGGCTCTACTTACCTCCAGACACTCGGAGGTGCGAGCTTGGCCGCAGCACTGGTCCGCTGCCTCTTGGCGCTCCAGGCAGTCGTAGAGCGTCTGTTCGTCGCTGCGGCGACAGTTTTGCACAGGCGAGCGATTCGATGTGGCGCAGACGTTGCGGCAATGTGGCAGGACTCCAAATTGGCAGCAACGCCTGCCCGACCAGTCCGCTCCGCGGGTGACCGCTGCGAATGAGAATGGATGTTGTTGAAGGGATTTGACGACTTCGATGCCCAATTCCCCGTTCCCCATTCCCAACTCACCATCGAAAGTCTGGTTGACGCAGGTCCAGAATTCCACCTGGTGCAGTTGACAATATTTGCGCAGTTCCTCGCGATTATCGCCGCCAGCGCCAGTGGCAAACTCTACCAGCGATAACTGGAAAAAATATGCATAAATTGCAA